GCTGGCTGACAAAGGCTCTCCTTCTTTACATTCGCTGCAGACTGAGCAGACAAAATAGCAGACTGATCCCAAAAAGAGAGAGAGAGAATATATTGCTAAATAGTCAGGATAAACCCATGATCACAGGGACAAAAGCCAACTGGTTGCTATTTCTTCACATTCAAAAGCCCTCTTACTTTTATAAAAGATATGGCATCCTAATGTGAAACACCATAACATTAACCAGTAGGCTTCCCCACAGTTAATATTCTAGTAGCTTCCACTAATATAAGAATAGCAATTGCTGCACTAACTCTCCCATTTCTGTAATTTCTTCTAATTCCCTCAAAAAAAGGACAAGGACTAGAATAGCTGTGATGTCACCCATGGCCAATATTTCACCAGTTCTTAAAAACTGGCTCCTGCTGACAGCAGCTCGTATCTTAGAAAAGAACAGAATAGTTCATTTGGAAGGGACCTACAAGGATCATCAAGTCCAATTGCCTGACCACTTCAGGACTGACGAAAAGTTAAAGCATATCAAGGGCATTATTCAAATGCCTCTTCAACACTGACAGGCATGGGTCTTCCTGCTATTTATGCTACCTCTGGTTATGAACTGGAGACAGGAACTGTCGTTCCTTATGCACAAGTATTTGACTGAGGGGACAATTAAGATGAAAACAATCTAAATAATTATTTTTTCCCTTTTATTACCTTTAATTTTTGCTTGGTCTCTTCTGAAATGCTGCCCTTTGGAGAAAGGAGGGTGGGAGTGGGTGGAGTGACAGTGATCTCAGGTGGAAATTTGGTGACAGATGAAGGTATGAAAAGCTTTGGCATGTTGGGCAGAACACGAGTTTTTACTCGGGTGCCATCTGTCTTGTTCTGCTGACTTCCCAAAGTCTGTGAACTGGAGCTGAGTTCAGGCTTGGAACTGGAGGCTAAACAGAAAATAATAAGAAAAAACATGTTAGGAAGTTATCAAGGATTTCACATGTCAAAGAAGAGGGAACAGATGATTGTTAGACATATGGCTGGCTCAAAAGGCCTTTCTTCAAGCTTTAATTAGGGTTCAGAAACAGAAGAAGAAAGTGCCTTAAGTTTCTAGAATGGCAACTAGGAATAATTAAAAAAAGTATTTCTAGACAGTAGAAACTCAGCCTGTCTGCACCAATCATGACAGTGCACTGGCCCATCAGCATCTAGTTAGAAGGCTACCACAAACATCCTTCCTACTTGTTTCAGAAGAAATCATCTAATGTTTGCATTCTTTAACTGTATTTCCATTCCATAATGCAGCAAAAGGATACTTCATTTTACTTGTGAGTCTTTTTTAAACTTCCTCCACTACAGCGTTGTCCCTCTAGTAACTGAAGCATCAGCTCCTACTTCCTGTCAATTCATACTGTCCAGATCTACCATCCACTTGCTACATTTTCAAACAGGAGTTTTGTAATTCCCACTAAACTGTCCTCACAAGTTAAGAAAAATACATAGTAATGCCTGTCAACACTTCCTCATTACTCCCTTCAAATCCTGCCATAAAAAAAAAAAAGAAAAAAAACAACAACAAACAACCTCTTTTGGTGTAATGTCCAAAAAAGCAACAAGATCCTTGGTATGCTCATGCTATTGTCTGCCATATGGGCTAGCACCATCATATCATTTCCACATACTCCCCAAGTATACTTCTAGCCTGTGCAATGCAAACTTGCTCAGACGTGGCTCATCTTGTGAATTAAAGAGGGATCTGGCCCTCCCTTATGCTCCATCATAATACAAAACAATATATATGCAACAATAGTCAGTAGAAGACAATGCTTTCACATTCAAAACTGAGAACAGAGATTTCTTGATATCTTACTAATAATAATGCTTCACGTGAAGTTAAATTAAAAAAAAAGTTGTACAAGCAAAAACACCAGTGTCTCAGATGCATAATAATGACAGATGTCTTTATACACATTTTTGTTCATATTTAGTCTTAGTCAAATCCATCTCTTGCAGGTTTCTGGAACCGACAGGGCTACTTAAACACAGCAAAACAAAATGCCAGCTCCCTGATGCTATCCTGAAAAACAAACAACAGCAGACTGACTACTAAGGGATGTAAAATTGAATTGTATGTTCTCAGCAGTATACAAGAATGTAAGAACTGCCACAACAGATGAGGCTTTCCATCATGGTCAGTGACCCATCTCCGTTTGCACGCAGTCAGTTCAGAGTCAAGTACCAGAAATGTTGCAGTAATCAGACATGGGATAATGTGACTCATAAATAAGGAAAATAAAGATACCTTCAACATGAGTATCTACATTATGCCTGCCTGAAAAAACAAGTTTTACATCTTTCCAGTTAAAATACCTTCTCTTGGGAAGAGGACAGAGAAGGGATAGACAGCATTAACTGCTATAATGCTGGATTTTATGTTAACTTCACTCAGTCTGAATATTGTAAAAAATTGTTTCCTTCTACTAAATATTCCAGTAGTGTAATCCAAAGTGTAGTCATATTGACCTGTGTAAGATTACAATTAAAAGAAAAATTCTACTTCCAAAGAAACACAGACTATATAGCATGATAGCCTAGTACTAGGATGTTTTTTATTTGGCTTTGCTGCCATAGTATTTTGTATGTGAGTCACGCACCAAAAAGAATAACCATTAAGGGACTACAAGGCACTTCTCCAGGAAGCTGTGACATTGCCAAGAATGCCTCTAAACTGTGGAATACTCTACTGGAAGGCAAGCCGCAGAGAAGCTGGAGAATACGTGTTGCAACTATCCTGTAAATCAATCCCTACAGACTGATACTCAGATAACCACTTATTTCCACTGAAGCACAGGAAAGCTCCTACCTTGGGTACAAACATGTCCCGAATTTGTGCTTGTCACTGATTCCACTTGCCAGCAAACAGGCTCTGGTGATGGTGCAACAGTAGCCATTTTCATCTGCTGACAAAGCCGTGACTCCTGTTGCTGAAATCCAAGCCCCTCCAAAGGCACTTCAAGCTCTTCTTCCTCTTTATTAATGAAACATAATTCACAGATTAACAGACATCCTGCTCTTTCCTAAGCTTCAGTCCTTCTGCTGTCTACCCAACTGGTAGAAGCTTTCTTTAAAAAATAAATTAATATTTTTTCTATTTCTAAATCATAACATAACTGTGTAAAATGAAATACTGACAAGGCAAGATGGCAACCACAACTTTTTCATACCTGGTGCCATCAATTCAAACTCGTAAAAAAAAATTGCTTTTTAAAAAAAGTGAAGAAAAATATGTGGTGTGTGGCATTTTGTTATCTCTGCATACCTACAAGAAACAAATACATGCAACTGACCATTAACCTTTGGAGATGTGAGGGGTGAATCACCTGTCATATATGCAAAGTAAAATCCATCACCCTTAATGATGAGCCAGCTGTGATCGATGAGTCCCTGTCTGATCTGCAACCACAGGTACAAGCTACATTGAACTGCAACTTACTGGGAAGTAAGATTAATTACTGTGAACATCCAGCAACAAGGATTTTTTTTTTTAATGTAATCAATACGAAGCTATGCTAAATACCCAGTTTTCAGTGATATGCCTACTGCACCTTTATAAATGCATTGGTCTAGTATTCCCACCTTCTATTATTCCAGAATTTGGGATGCTTAAAACCCAGAATCCTGCCATGTGTGAGCACAATTTCTTAATTACAAACCAGCAGTATCTGTTTTTAAATTAATGCAGTGTTAAACCAGTTTTCTTGCACACTGTACTGCATACTGTACTTTACAGGAGTAATTTTCACTGAACTACTGAGAACTATTAATGACAGCCCTTTCTGGGAAGGGCAGACTGAAACAGCAGCTGGCATTTCAATGCTACAGGCACACAAACAAGGTCTTATTTTCTGATGAAGTTGAACATATCCTTCAAATACAAAGGGCTGTTGAGGAAAATTTGAATTATCTTCTGCTTACACAGGGTAAGGTGTGCACAGGCAGCTATTGCAGACAAGCAGATGCAATGTATATTCACAGCTTCACTTGCTCTAAAATTCTTCCTTTGTCCATGCTCTAAATCAATTTAGAATTTTGACAGCATAGTGTCTTAAGAAGGAATACATTTTTCAACTTTTCCTCATTGGAAAAGTACTCTTCCCCTCCTTCCCCCACCCCCCCCGCCTCACTATATGTTGAAAACACTTCTCCATCTTCCTCATTGTTGATAAGAACTTGAAATTTACCATGGTAATATTTTCCTGTCCAACAGCTCCCCTTGCAGAAAATGCTTGAGAGAATGCCTCAGCTTAACAGCTTGGTAAAATCCACGTTGATGCAGTTTGAAAGACACAACTTTTTAAATGAATTAGATTCCTAGGGTCCTTAAATAATTTTGTATAGAAAAAGCTTGCCAAAGCAGCCTATGAGTTCTTTTATCCGCTAATTTTCATTGGTAAAATAAAATAACCCATTATCTAAACAGGTGCTGATAGCCAACACAAGCCTCAGGATAAATGAGTCTGCTTGCAGAGAATTCTCCAAGTTACCAAAAAAGAAAAGGTCGCACACTACAGCACAAATCACAGGCAGCTTCTGTTCTGTGATGTTCCACTCACTATCAAGCACAAAATGGGAAGGTCTAACGCAGAAGAATAGCTTTCTTTCTCAGCACTTTCTTGCACATTTTTGTACGGATACTTCAAAAATTAGCATTGGAAGTAGGAAAAAAAAAAAAAGTTGCATCTGACCAAATCAGCTTAAAAACAACACAGAAGGAAGTGGTTATACAACAGGAATCTGAACTAGGAAAATCACAATTCACTGTTTCCCTGTTTGAGAAACAGAAGATAGCTGAAAGATTGCTTTGTGTATTTGCCTGCTCAGTTCTATCAGATACATGTATGATTTAACCGCATGCTGACAAGTATGAGGGACCATACGAAGAAGGATCAGCCCTAATGTGGCCTGAAGCCAATACACACACATCCCATTACACTGCGAGCATCTGACAATAAGCTGTAGTCTAAACCCAGAAGACTCCTATGCCGAAATGTCTACAAGACACTTGATCAAAGATAGAAAGAAACATTACATCGACATTTGAAGAAAAGCAAGATGAAAATTATGATTTCCGATTACCCTGCAAGGCAACAGCTCCCTTTAGCTTACTCCAGAGTGCCAGACCCCGAGTCTTAAACATCCAGGGTAAGTACTAACAGAACCTTATTTATCCACTTATTAACCAAGGATACAAAACACTAATTAATTTAACAGATACAATACTACATAAACTGGAAACCCTATAGCTTTAACTGTGCTGCTAGCTGAGAACAGTTTTGCATGTACTTAACTGCTAAATTACATTGGGGACTTAATAGTTCACCATTCAGAACAAAAGCTCAGATTTGCGTTATTGCTTAATGACTAAACCCTACCTCTTTTGTTGGTTATAATCTTTGTTTAATTATAAGATATATCATTGCATAAGCTGATTTGCTGTGCTTTGCTTTAACTAAATTATGCCCCACTGACAAAGCTCTTTTGAGCAGCATATTTCTAGCCAGATGCTACAAGACAGATGTAAGTCTGCATTCTTTTATGAGGAATCAGCTTACTTGCATGCATTTCCATCTTCCACATCACGTCTGTGTTTCTTACTTTTGAAGATGCAGATTTGTAGCGTAGTAAAATTAATTTTAATAGAATTGTGTGTCAGCCCTTTTTCAAAGAAGTAACTGTAAACGCAAGGGCAGGAGCTTGGCACAGCAAGTGTGTATTTCTATTACCTACACTTCTGGAAACAACACTTGTTAATATTCAATCAGGCTGCTTCTTTCACTACGTGACATCAAGAACCCCCATCTATTAATCAATCCTTTGCTGTCAGGTATTAAATACACAGTGACTGAATTTTATTCCCTGATTGGGTCATAGACTTTATTCTTTTATGACTGAGCAATATTTTTTTTTTTGGTGATAGTCACCTGAGTGATATTATTTCTAAGTTTAAAATTATGTTAATTAGCAAAATATTTTTATTTCTTTATAAAGAAATGGTTATTTCAGGTGTATATATCAAAATATGTATTATCAATACTTTAATATCTGTGCACTATATTAAAGTATTGATAATACATAAAAAGAGCAAAATGACAGAAGGATAATCATGAAGAAATACACAGTTGAATTGCTATTATTCGTCTAAAACACATTTCTGAAGAGAGTATCTTGATATTAGTCTTGTGGACGATGCTGTTATAGCCCTGAACATAATGTCCTAGTTTTTCTAATAAAAACTTTCCCCAGGGAGGTAAAGACTCCACTAACTCATGAGCCACAATATTCTGCACAAGTGCAAGAGCACAAGAATACAACTAACAGCACATCCTGAAGGTGCTCGGAAGCGCAGATTTAATCTCAGTTAACAAATTGTTTGGTAATATGCAGTACTTGTACGGTTCTTGCAGGCTTTCAAACGTTAGCTGCACAAACCCAGTTTAAAATAAAATCAGTTTGTGAAGACGTAATATGCAACAGTCACTTGTCTCCAGGCTGAAGGTGGGACAGATACTGTGCTCTGGAGATCTATTTAGCAGCTCTCACCTCATAACATAGCACAAAAAAAAATAAGCATATAGAAAAAGCACAGATTTGCAATGCATCTTATTAATATTGGTACCGAAAAGTTCCTCTCTGATCGAGCTGAATTCTAAGTATCCTTCTCAGCCTTCCCTCTCCCAGCAACTGGCTAAATATATATAAAATAGCAGACAGAGAGAAAGAGGGACATCATACCTTTCAACATCTCCCTGCTTTAGTGAGGAAGAAACAAGCTGAAAACAATTCAATGCAACAACCTACTCCAGCTTTCCTCTCCAACCTCTTTCCACTTGTTGCCAGGGAAACCAGTGTTTGCAGATGCCTATAGCGGGCGCCGGGGTTCATGACTTCATCACAGCTAATATTCTCCCTCACCAGTCTCCCTTTATACAAGGAAAACACTATATACACATAGCCGCACACCAGAAACAGATTACACAACTCCTGCACCCATTTTTACACCAGTAAGACAGTTATTTGCTATTCTGACGCGGCCACGTCAAAAAATATTCCCTCGGCAATTTGCAGATGCGGAGAAAGTTTCAAAGCAGTAGCAGTGTAACAACGAGCAGCTGCTCCAGTCCCTGTGCACTGCACCGTGTGCTCATCACCCAGTTTCTTTGTGCTGCCAGGTGGAAGGAGACATCAGCATTAGTGATCTAAGACATTTTAGCTGGAATTTCAAAAAATCCTTTAGTCATGCACTAAACCTATTATGTTACACGGAGAGTGAAAGACAAGCCCAGAAAATGTGACTGGCACCTGGAAAAAATGTTTTCCACTTGCTGAGGGAGGTGGTTTGAAGTATTAAAGCACAGATATGCTAAAGGCTACAAGTAACGTACAGTGCAAGCACAAAACATCGTTTCATTAGAGGAAAAAGGAAGAAACTGAGCTTTGAACTCCAGGACAGAACGCTAACGTGATTTCAAAAGTGTATGCTTGGAGAAATGAACAGATAACAGCTTCAAGTGCTTCACTGAAGCAGTTGCACCACTTGCCTTCATCCCTCTGCAGAGCACCTTCCCCAGCAGTTCTGTGTCAGACAAAAAGCCTGAAAATACATTACTGTGATTTGGCAAATCTGCACCACCGAGCCTCCCAAACACTTCAAAAGAGTAAGGGCTACATCCTGTGTGCCTGCGGACACTAGGAAATACCTATGCTATTTGTTCCAGCAACAACTGGCTTACTTTGTATTTTACTGGCCACACAGAGTACATACAAGTTTTCACAGCATCGTTACTTATTTACAAGGTAGATGCTATGCTTTTTTTTCCCCATGTTGATGGAAATGGGCCTGATCCATTGCTCCCTGACACAATGGAGTAAATATCTTGCTGCATTTCCAAAGAATAGTGGCTAATGTGTAAACAATTAATTTCTGTATTCCATCTGCCTCACCCTCTGGCGTGCTGGGAATTAATACAGCTTTTTTTTTCCCCCCCATACAGCAGCTGCAAAGGCCATGGAAATCCTGAATTCAAAGGAGCTCAGAGTTTCCTCATACACTGTGTTATAAGTCAACGGAAAGACTGGGCTGGAACACAGGTTGGTTCAGCTGAACACAGGCTGGTTAAGGATGCTGACCCACAGAAATAACAGTGGCATCCAGCCCCAAACTGCATGCTGTGTTTGCCATGAGGTACACCACAGCAGGCAGAGAGACCAAGTGTATTTAGTTCATCAGGGGATGCAGGAGGTGTCCTTGGTACCCTTTCCTTACACATTTTCTTTCTCTACATTCATTCCCAGTATCCTAGCATGGAATTTATTTATTTATTAAAAAAAAACTCATAGCTGTAGAAACACGGATTTGCCTTGAAATGCCAAATTCAGGAAATTACATTCAAAGCTGACACACAAAGCCATGTGTTAAAAATTAAGCATCAGTAATTTTGGAGGCGAAAAGCTGCAGAACACAAGTTCTGTGGCCCCATGAAATGAAAGAAAGTCAAGCAGTCTGCTGAACAGAAGTTCACGCTGTAGTAACGTGGCATACTGCTATATTTATCACTAGAGTCCCGACAGAGTCTGCTGTGCAATTACGTGAGACATACCCCAAACTCTTTCCTAATGCTGAGGTCAGCTGTCACAGAACAACATTCATGCTAGGAAAGCTTAAAACAGGTGGCTGCTCGGAAAGTGCTTCCTGGAAATAGTCCCTGGCCCATCCTAATTCCCAAACTCCCAGGTCCCTGAGGGAGCCACATTGGGGCACAGCCAGCAGAGCTCACTGGTACTTGGTTTAAAAAAAAAAAAAAAAAAAAAAAAAAGCCCTGAAGCACAATACTTTCTCTCTTTTTAAACAAACAAAAACAAAAATAAAAAAATAAAAATAATAAAAAAAACAACCCATGCCCTCCCATAAGAAATTTAGGGAGCCAAGGGCCAAGATCAAAAAAGCCCAACAGTTTTGTATGGAATTATACAAACTTTCAAATGGCATTATAAAAATGCATCTAAATAGTAATTGTTTCTTTTCTATTCAATTTAGCAAGAGCACACCATTTGAAGAACATCATCTAGTAATAACCATAGATAGCAAATCTCTTGTTTGCAGTCTACTCCCTGTGAATTTTATATACTAGTTACCTAATGAAAGCCGTAAGACCCTTCCTTCCCCATCGGTATTTCATCCTTCTTTGACCTGACAGCCAATTAAGCCCAAAACAAATTAGCACAAGCAGCTAAGGGTTTCGTTGTATTCTTTAGAGAGATTTTTCCAAGAACGCTGGAAACGATGCAATACCTGTGCAGTAGGCTTACAACAAGATCTCTCTTCAGTCTGCATTTATGCAGCAGTGTATAAAATGTTCTGCTGGCAGCAAGCTGAGGCCAGTGAAACAAACATACTGAAACAATACAGCATTGTCATCGTGCTCTTCTACAAATCTTTGTGGTCTCCAGAAGATGCATTGTTACTGCAAGATATCCATAGGGCAGTGCTTCCCTGGGATTTTCAGGGGGATCTAGAGAGCCTCTTTGGCCCCTTGGCCTGCCCAGCCCACGCTATGCCCCTGGCTCTTCCCACCACCTAACAGGGCACAGTTTGGAAGCTGCTGTTCCTGTCCTATTTATTCTTACTGATTGAGCTTGGGCACATATAAACAACAGCTTTAAATTTCAAAGGATTTTCCGCAGTGTTAGATTGAATAAATAAAACTTGGGAAAAAAAAAGGTAAAAATTAGAAATAGGTATTAACAGTACTGAAAAACTTCTCTGTTTGTTGCAATAGAAACTAAATCAGCGTGCTGCCAAAGGGAAGAGGAAAAGACACAGCTGACTGGTACTGCCTGAGCATTAGGCAAAAGGGAATTAAGAAGTCATTCACAAACAGGAAACCCCCTGCTGGCAGTCAGCAGTGAAGTTGTTTTCAGAGTGCACCCATTGTGAAAAATAAAAAGCTTCATGAAAAGGAAGGATCAGACAGGTGGAAGTGAGAATACCAATGCCAACACAGGAGGCAGACGCAGAGAGAGATTAGAGAGAGCAAACGGGGAGTTAGTCAAAGGCTGCCTGCTTGATTTCTATCGGCAACTTCGCAGTCACTAACAGGTGGAAAGGAGCTTCCACCCCAGGGTGCTACAGAAGGAGTGGGGTTACAGGTATTTGAACAGAGCTTTTAAAGCCTTGGAGGAATTCAGGCTTGGGGACTGAGGGAAAAAGCCGTCAAAAACCAGGATAAGTCATATCGTCTGTACAGGAAAGAACCCTCACACCGGGTAACTGCTGGAGGAATAACGCAATACGAAGACTCACATGAGGCCACAGGTCCGTGGCCAGGCTCAACTTCTGCGTTTCACATTTTCTTGAGCCATCTGTTGAGATCAACTCTGAACTCTACAGCACAATTATGAATTAAGCAGAGAAACCAAGAGATTAGACTGATCATGGTTAGGAGGGCTGAGCTGCTACTTCGGGTCCTTTAAAAAAGAAACTGAACGTTCAACCTGAATTCCACAGTTAAAATAAGGTTAAATAAAGTTAAAACAATTTAGTCTTATTACTCACTCTCACCATGCTCCTGTTTACCTTTCCATACAACCTTTTTCACTGGCATTTATTTCTTCTGCTTCTCAAAGTCAAAGTTCTACAGCTTGAAGCACACTTACACCTCTACCTGCCCTGTTGTGCCTACATAACACACATCTGAAATCATAGCAGGATTATCTATTTATGGCTTATAGGCTGCAATTCCCCTGCACACTAGAGAAAGACCTGATTGACTTCCTCATCTCTGAATTTCTAAGCTTGGACAGCTGTATCACGACCTTGTTTTGTATTGAAATGCTTGGGGCTTGAATGGATGTAAATTTCATGGAGAGGGGGGGAGAATTTTCATTCTTCCACCTTTAAGTTATATTCCAATGAACTGAATAGCTGGTTTTAAGCAAAACACAACATTAAATAATTCCAACTATACAAGCCTTGGTACGAAAAGTCAGATGTGAATGTTTTCCTGTCCATTCATTATAAGAATCGTTATTTGGGCAAGGACACTGAAGCTAAAGAAAATGTCAAGATTTTGCAGCAATTTAGAACAGTATAAAAACAGAGCAGTGGGACACATTGCAGAGGGTTTATCTTAATTGTCCTATTTTAGTTTCTCCACAGAAAATTATAGGCTGAGCCAAAAAGGCTAATAGGTCCACAGACATTCATGCCTACATGTAGGAAGCTCTCATATTGAAACTACCACTACTTTGCTGCTGGATTTCATCACGTTGTATTCTATACTAGTCACATTAGACAAAATCTCTTGAAAACATCCACATAAGAAATGAGTGGCAACTTCGCTTTTAAACCCATTCTTTTTTTCTGAGTGAAACCACAGAAAACAATAGCAGCTAATCCTCTGTGACACTGAATACTCTCATATGAACAAATAGATACAGAAGGAGGTTACAAAACATGACAAGAGATGAGAAAGATGAAAACAGATTACTCTGAAAATGGGGGAAACGATTTCACTATTTATTTATTTTTAAAACAGAGCTAATGAGATGCAGATGAAAAAAAAAGTGGTAAACCAGATTATAAATAATACTTTTAAAGGAGGTGGGTGAAAAGATAGGAGAATCAAAAAGAAAGGAAAAGGAAAGGAAAGGACACAGCAGTAATTGGTGTCTCTCTCAGCTAGAAAAATGACCTGTCAGGTACGTCTGAGAGCCAGAAAGCCAGATACAACACACACACACACACTCTGCACTGGAACAAGAGCTTTGCAGAGAGAGCCTCTTGATCTTCAGACACACGGATCCAGGGTTATAATTTTGGCAGCTAGCCCTTCCATCTCCCTCGACCAAGATGAGGTATAGAAGCATAAAAGACCAACGAACAATATGAAACTTCACCACCCTAACAAAGCTTAGGAAGTCAAAAGATTAAAATAAACGTTCTAATCACTGCAAGGCAGCCCAGGAAATTGCTGAGAGGAAAGCATGTCAGAAATGCTCATGAGTTTGTTTGAAAACTGAAAGAATCTGGGACCTCTTATCTGCATTGTCATTCCTACCAGTCTCCTTAGTAAATGCACAGCAACTGCATAAACTGGAGGATTTTTCCCCTGTTGTCTAGGCACAAACCTGAATTACTCCCTGTTGAATAAGCCTGCAAAGATATCTTATGCCACTGTGCAACTCCATTCTTCAGCTTCATAAGGAGAATAACAAATGTGGTTTATGCATCGTCTCAGCCATTCCCTTCCTTATCACTCCCCTTCCCCTCCTCTCCCTCCCAAGACACTCTCTCCCTACTTCTGTGAAAAAGGAAAATGAGATGATTATAACGCAACTCCTAACACTGGATGTTAAATCTCAATTTTGTCCTGTACTCAGAGATTAGCAAATTGGGAAAACTGATTTCTCCCTCGCTTGCTCTTTGTTGCCCATGAATTCAGCAGACTGCGTGTGTTTAGATGCCAAGGCTGATTACATAAGGCAGTGTATGGATGGAAGTCACAGTACGACTTTACTTTCACAAAACATCTAGATGATACATAATACTCATTAATGAGTAGGCTATCATTAAGTCTCACAAATCTAGGCACTATTCCCATTGTATCCTCGTCTGTCACTTTCCCCCAAAGCTGTATGTTTGTTGTTCATTCATGACTCTATCTGGGTTCCTATTAATTCTGCTATGGCATTTTATGGGTAGCTCTAAAGTTCAAGTTTGTGAGCAGATGGAGCGAGTGCAAGCAGCAGCAGAAGGTTTTTCAGATAGTGTTCCTGCTAAGGTTGCAAGGAAGTACACACCATAACAGGTGCTCTACCACTGTAACATGCACAGTGTCCCACAAATAAGCACAGCCATGTCTTTGGGCACCCAAGATAAGTCTGAAACTGGGTCTAATCTTACTTCGTGCCCAAAGTGGATCAGCGATTTTTACTACTGCTAACAACACCAGCTTGCCAGGACAGCAGGAAAGAAAAAGACGGCGCTCTCAATTAACTCTTTCCTCATTTAGGCAATCTGTATAGGACCAAGTATATAACACAGTCCTAACCAAATCACACGATCTTGCTACAGAATAAGTAACATTTGTTTTGCCTCTTCAACCCTTTTCTGTACTCCAACTTTGCACATAACCATACTAGGACTATAAATATATTTCCAACATTCCAGTCCTGCCAGATGCTTCTTTTCTCAAATGTGAAACATAATGGTGATGGTACACTAACTTATGAGCCATGCAGAAGCTTGGAATTTTCACAGTATTACGTATCTCCACACACATATACATGGCTGTGATATCTGTGCATCTAATTATGTTAATCTGGCACTTACAAGTCAGATGTAGGCTATCCATCAGTTTATTGCAATTTCAATCACTTCCAACTTTTTAAAAGCATTTGAGGTATTTTAAAGAACCGTATCTTTACTTTCTTTAAGAAAAAACAAATGCCACTTCAGACTTAAATGATCTATTTAAAATATTATGTTATTTTTAGGCTGCTATTCCATGATTTCACATGCAAGTTACATGCAGTGCGTACTAGAAGCTCTTTACTCTATCCTAGCAATTAAAATACGTATAATTTTATACATGTCCCAAAACAAACCCTCTGTTTGTGTAACCTTTTGAGTATGGCCTAGTGATCACAAAGTGGGACAGAATCAGAACTCAGGCACTGACTCACCATGTGGCCTTGGCAAACTGATTAGAGAGGGCCATGATGTTCTGTCTCCCTGAGACTTACCACGTGCGAGATCACTCATGCTGGGAGCAGTCTCTGCATTCTGACTCCGAAGATGCTCAGTGTCCCTGTGTGACTCCTGGGAGGGAGGCACTGAAGAAGATGCTGAGGAGGAAGAGGATGAAGAGGAAGAGGCTGGTTTGGATTTGGGATGAAGATCATTCAGTCTCAGGAGATTTTCAGGAGTCACAGTGTCTGGATTCACTGGGGCAGGATGCAGCGTGGCTGGTGTTACTGGGAAGAAGCTCTCTCTGGTGTCCTTCGTGTGCTTTGGGGTTGTGGGCATCTCTGCTGTGGACTGCATAAAACACAAAAGGGAAGGCAGAGACAGTGAGAAATACATGCCAGTAATTCTGCACCTGCTACCTGCTTCAGTTACAACTGCAGGCAGTACAACTTCTTGTAGACAGAAAACACTAACAAATAAAAAATCAAACATTATTATAACGCAATCTTTCTCCTTTACAGATTATTTTCCTGTTCCCTTCAATCCACTTATCAAACTAGCACTTGAACACTTATTCATATTCACATTTACAATGCTTTATTTAACAAGTCCCTCGCAACATAACACTTTCCTGAGCTCCATCATTAAGCACAAGTTACAAACTCTTATAAACAGAAATTTATTTCATGCAAAGGTGTGTTGACAAACTTGGCCTGAATGAACAGATACACAGTATTTTAAGAGAATTTGCAAATTATTAAAATAAATGATTTTTAGTAGATGATATGAGAAGAAATGGAGAAAACAGAAACACGTATTTGCTTGAAAAATAGATCATCAGCCTAGCCCCAAATCATAAATCCCCAATAACTGCAGAACTGAATAACATCGGTGTCCAATTTGGAACAACACTCTGGGAATTCATTGCCTTTGTAGGAGTTAAAAATGGCACCAAGAGCAACACTTTTCTCCAAAGCCCAAGCTAACAATTTAATGCAGTGCTGTTACTTATGTAGGCAGAAGGGTGACAAAAATTCACCAAAGGGAATAAAAGCACCCATAAAATGAGCATCTTCGCTATAATTTTTATCAGTAATTAAATAAAATATCCTCGCCTGTGGGGCCACAGGATGTTTTTATTTCATGTTCTTTACAGTCTTCATTTAATGGAGACTTACTGTACCATAAAAGATATGGCTGAGTGGAATCTCAGTTGTTTAATTGCCTGTCTCATTCCTCTACCTCTCATACCTCTGCCAGGAATGAACAAAAAGTCATTTTAACCATGGTGATAAAGTACGAGTGTTTGGAATAGAAATAAAGAATCCGGCTGTCAGATGTAAAATCAAATTGGTCCCTAATGTCCTAGATGACCAAAGAT